ATGTTTTGCCAATATCATTAAATATAATCAAACAGAAAAAATGTTTAGCTTTGTTTTTTGGAAATAATAATATAACACATTATGTTATAGCAAGTGTCTTTAATGCAAAGAAGATTACTGACACATACCTGCTAAGTGAAATAGTTAATCAATACAATAAAAGTTTGCATTTTCTACAAAAATGCAATGTGAATGCTGAGCATGCATGAAAAATAATTCATATTAAGATAACACGTAAATTACAGTTTAAAAAGAAAAGTTAGAATAAGGAGACACAAATGGAGTAAATATGCTAAGTAAATTTTTAGAGAACAAAAAGTTTAATATGTATGAACCCTGATCTAAATCTGCATAAAATTAGCCTGGCCCTTGCCTTCCTCTGCAGTTCTGTTCAATTCTAGTTTCCCTTCACTGCTCCAACTGGGATTTCTCCCAAAGACAAGGATTTCTTCAGGAGAATTTTCGTCCGGGCCAATCAGAGAACAGAATGTCAATTTTCTGCGTTGTGTCTGCTTGTAGTTTATTTTAACCGGGCCAATCAGCAAACAGAAGGCGGAGTTTTGAAAGTCGATTTTCTGTGCAGTGTCTGCTAGTTATTTTAGCATACGGCAGTGGAGGAAGTGAATGAAGCCAGTCTGTGTTGATAAGGCTTCCAAATTAAAATAAATTTGTCTGACAAAGCAGCAGCTCTCATTTACAGCCGTCTCGTTTGGCTCAGTACTTCTCTCCTCTCAGCAGGGTTGTTTACAGCACTCGCAATTTCCGGTTAGCTTCTTAGCTTAGCCTCCTTCACAGCGACACACACACACACACACTTCAGCAGAGGCCACGCCTCCAGCAAGAATCACTTCTCTATAGCCGAGAGTCCAGACCCTCGCATGAAGCAAGGTGAAGGACAAGGGTCTGGTTTTTACCAGGCTGGCGTAAGATGCAAAAGATCCTAAAGAGTTGCAACAATTGCTTGATTGTAGTGATTGTCTTAAATGGTTTTACAAGAAACATTTAAGTAAAGGTTAACACATTTTTATCAAGGTGAGTTTCAAAAGTGTATTTTACTTTAAATGGTTTTACTGAACCACAATTTAAAAGCAATGTCTAAAAGTGTCTGTCAGATGAGCAAAATATCAACTGCTATCCATTTAGTGTGCTTGCCTTCATGAAATAGAAGAATATATGATGATAACCAGAATGTACAAAGTACTGGAAGGAAGATATGATTTTGCACCCACAACGAAATTGATCAAACCTGAAACTGACTGTGGCCTATGTTTTAGTGTCTATATTTAGGACGTTTTCTCTTTTGCAATGGAGGCCCATTTTAATATAAATGTAAAAAGTATATACATATTACTGCAGCTTAGCAGCTTTAAAAAAGTTAATATAAACTCCATCTCAGCTGTGGTCCTGTTTTATTTTTTAGTCATCCAGAACAGTGACAGGATTTTTATCCCTTTGGTGAATGTATCTCCAAACGCAGCCTGCATTACAATAACTGCACACACTCAATGTGATTGTGTTTTTCTCTGAACTCTTTAAGAGAGTGAAAATGAGATCTCTGGGTTTGGAGCGGACTGTCGGCCACATAGAGCTGACGTGGGGGTGCAGATAAAACTGGCTGCAGCGGCAGAGGAGATGGGGAACTTACAGTGCCTTGCGAAAGTATTGAGCCCCCTTGAACTTTTCAACTTTTTGCCACATTTCAGGCTTCATAAATAAAGATATAAAGTTTTAATTTTTTTGTGTGAAGAATCAACAACAAGTGGGACACAATTGTGAAGAAAAAAACAAATAAAAAAACTGAAAAGTGGAGTGTGCAACATTATTTGGTCCCTTTACTTTCAGTGCAGCAAACTCACTCCAGAAGTTCAGAGAGGATCTCTGAATGATCCAATGTTGTCCTAAATGACTGATGATGATAAATAGAATCCACCTGTGTAATCAAGTCTCTGCATAAATGCATCCGCACTGTGATAGTCTCAGGCTTCTGTTTAAACTACAGAGAGCATCATGAAGGCCAAGGAACACACCAGGAAGGTCTGAGATCCTGTTGTGGAGAAGTTTAAAGCTGGATTTGGATACAAAACTATTTCCCAAGCTTTAAACATCTCAAGGAGCTCTGTGCAAGCGATTGTAATGAAACGGAAGAAGTATCAGACCACTGCAAATTAGGGTTGGGCATAATCGTATCGTTTGCAATTAATTGTCAGAAAAACATTAATCCATTACTTTTTGGCACTTGACGATTAATATGATTAATGCCACGAAGCAGAGTCCGCTTGGTGCTCCTCTTTGCTTCAGATATGATAAACGAAAAAAAAGTTCTGCAATTTATTTATCAACACAACTTATAGTTTGATGTACAGCCTGAAGTCTGTAATTTTGACACAATTTGGAACAGTTTTTTTTAACAAAGAGCAAATCTTTCCCACTAAATTGGTCATGTGACTAGGACATAAGTGTGTCCAGGGACTCCAGGGGATTAAATGGTAAATGGTACTGAACTCATAGAGCGCTTTTCAAGTCCCTCCGGACCCCAAAGCGCTTTACACTAACAGACATTCACCCATTCACACTCTGATGATACAAACTACACTGTAGCCACAGCTGCCCTGGGGCACACTGACAGAAGCGAGGCTGTCATGCACCGGCGCCACCGGACCCTCTGACCACCATCAGTAGGCAAGGTGGGTGAAGTGTCTTGCCCAAGGACACAACGACTGAGATGGCTGGACGGGGGATCGAACCAGCGACCTTTTGGTTCCAGGACGACTCCCCTAACCACTCCGCCACAGCCGCCATTAATTGTCAAATTAATCGTTATCGGCTAAATACCACAACTAATCGTGATTAATTTTTTGCCAATATTGCCCAACCCTACTGCAAATCTACCAAGACCTGGCCGACCCTCTAAACTTTCATCTTGAACAAGGGGAAGACTGATCAGAGATGCAGCCAAGAGGCCCATGATCACTCTGGATGAACTGCAGAGATCTACAGCTGAGGTGGGAGAGTCTGTCCATAGGACAACAATCAGTTGTACACTGCACAAATCTGGCCTTTATGGAAGAGTGACAAGAAGAAAGCCATTTCTCAAAGATATTAATCAAAAGTCTCATTTGAAGGTTGCCATGAGCCACCTGGGTGACACAGCAAACATGTGGAAGAAGGTGCTCTGGCCAGATGAAACCAAAATCAAACTTTTTGGCCGCAATGCCAAACGATATGTTTGGTGTAAAAGTAACACATCTCATCACCCTGAACACACCATCTCCACTGTCAAACATGGTGGTGGCAGCATCATGGTTTGGTCTGCTTTTCTTCAGCAGGGACAGGGAAGATGGATGGGGCCAAATAACAGGACCATTCTGGAAGAAAACCTGTTGGAGTCTGTAAAAGACCTGAGACTGGGACGGAGATATATCTTCCAACAAGACAATGATCCAAAACATAAAGCAAAATCTACAATGGAATGGTTCACAAATAAACGTAACCAGGTGTTAGAATGGCCAAGTCAAAGTCCAGACCTGAAGCCAATCGATAATCTGTGGAAAGAGATGAAAACTGCTGTTCACAAACGCTCTCCGTCCAACCTCACTGAGGTAGGACTGCTTTACAAGGAAGAATGGGCAAGAAATTCAGTCTCTCCATGTACAAAACTGATACCCCTGAGCCACTTGCAGCTGTAATCGCAGCAAAAGGTGGTGCTCAATTTTTCTGTGTTTTTATTTGTTACAAAAGTTTAAAATATCCAATAAATTTCATTCCACTTCATGACTGTGTCCCACTTGTTGTTGAGTCTTCACAAAATAAAATAAAATAAAATAAATTTTATATCTTTATGTTTGAAGCCTGAAATGTGTCAAAAGGTTAAAGGGGGGCGAATACTCCTTACAGCCCGCCAGCTCTGAGACTTAAATAAATGTGAAGTTTCTGTAATTTTGCTCTTTGGTTCTGTATACATGTAAAATGGGGGAAATCTAGCACAATACAAACTGACATGTATGTCTGATGCATGATTTGGTTGACAAATTATTAAAACTTTTTTAATTCAATGGTAAATTATCACATGAAAAATAAAAAAACTGCAATGAAGAAGTTAATAAAACAAATAAATGAATTTTGTCTCAAGGCTAGAAAAAGTTAGAGGCTCAGGAGCTGTAGGTCGTTGACCTCTGTTCTCTGGAAAACCTCCTTGTAACACTGCTTTTTGTTGTGTCTGGTTTGCCTCCATCAGTGGCACGTTTTAAATCCTCATTTCAACAGGAAGACCTGTCTTTATTTGCACAATTTTTTGTAACTCGCACACAACACACCCATTTTAGCATGGTTATTTTTTTTAACTTGCCCTTCAAATTAGTACTGGTTATCTGGGATGTTGATAAATCAGCTACAGATTCTTTACCTGATTGCATCTAAAACTGTGAAATGAACCTTTTCACACACTTTGCATTGCATTACATCGCATTTCTATTTACCTTAGGTGTGAACTGGAGCAAAAACCTCGTGTGATGATTTACTGGCTTTGAAATCTTAAAAACTGATGCAGAGAAACCCAAATTACTCTCTCAGTACTTTTACAGAATTACAGCTAAATGTGTAAAACCTCAAGAAAAAAAAAACAGAGTAAAATGCGATAAATTACTAGAAGCACAAGAAGAAATTTGGACGAGGACAAGCCTGTAAAGATGTGACACAACACAAAGTTTGATCTAAAAAGGTTCCGTCAGTAGAAGACTGGCAGTTATTTGTAATTTTCTTGATGAACCTCAGTGTCTTGTTAGATCCTTCTGACCTTTCAGCATCTGTCAGCTCCTATCACTGCCTATATCACACACTGTTAATGCTTTTACACATGTGTGTTTGTAGTATGTTTAACAAGGAACAATTGTTTTTTCACAAGAGCCTACAATTATAAAACATACTGGACTTAAAAAAATGGTTTGCAAGCCTCAGGCCATTTCCTAGCGGAACAAAAACCTGAATACAAACAATGAAGCAACCACTAAACACCAGTTTAAGCCCAAATGACCAGGAATTAGATTTTGGATTTAACTTGGTTTTACTTTAGCTTTGAATTCACACAGAATACAGATCTACTGCTTTCATGTCACTTGCTGCCTCTCATACCAGAATTTGAGACAAAGATCATCTTGTGGTGAGAACAGTGGCAGAGCCAGACATTGTTTTCAGGGGTGGTCAGACTGGGACCACTACTCACCCAGGGGTGGCCAGGAAAATTACATTTTTTTTCTTGAAAGTTTCTGCAGATCTTTTCGTTTTGTCATTTCCTTATGTCCCTATACAGGCAGTGACGACCTTATAAACATGGGCGTCAGAACCATTTTAAAAGTGGGGGGACAGACTGTTGGGGAGTCTGGGGGTCCGCCCCCAGAAAATTCTGAACGAAATAGATGCCGTTTCCAGCATTCTGGTGTATTTTACCAGGTTATTAAAACATAATTTTACCTACATAAATTAACACTTGGTTTAATAATTATTTCAGACAGATTGCCAAATAATGATGACCTTCAACTGCATGTTTAGAACTAATATTAATACCTTTACCCAATGAACAGGTGCAATATTGATAATCACCAACAGTGAATTTAAAGGGGCATTTCACTTTTTCTGATTTAGTGATAAGTCTACTCATAACCAAAATGGACAGAGCATCACGCAGCCTTCATAACAGAAAATGACACTGTGTTATGATGACAAAAAAAAATATTTGTCACCATAAGTCAGATTACATAGGCATATGTTCTGTATATAAAGGAAACAATCACTTTTTTGTCTCTTCTTTGAGCTTGGTGATGTTACAAACTGTTAAACACTGCCACCAACTGTTCAGGAGGATTATTACACCCCTAAAGGTTGTTTCACTGTGGAATGAGTGTGTACAGCAGGGTGGCCAATGGGGTGGCTGAAGATTGGTCTGGAATGTGGTGTCCTTGTATGTCTTTGATTGAGTGGGGGTGAGGATGAGGGTGGGATGGTGCGATTGTGTATGTTTGGGTATTTGTCAGGCTGCGGTCTGGGCTGCCCCTACTGCTGGTTTATCTGGGGGCCCTCTGCTACTCGGCCCCCTGGTGGGGTGTGCGGCTGGCCGCCGGCGTGCTGGAGGTTTCCGGGGTCTGGGGCTGGGAGCTGGGGTGTGTGCCGGCCTGGCCTGGTGACTGCCTGCTGGGGCTTGGGACCTCTGGACCTGTCGGGCTTTGGCCTGGAGGGGGTGCGCCCTGGGGGCCCGGACCTCTGTGCCCTTTCCTGGATCTGCTCTGGCGTGGCGGGTGCCGGTGGGGCCCATGAGTTTGTCGCTGCTGGCCCCGGGGGCTGTGCGTGTGGTCGCTGGGGGGACTCTCCCGGTTCTCCCCTATGGTCTTATCTGGGGGGGTGGGTGGGTGGATCTTCCCGTGCGGGTGCCCCTTGGGGCTCTGCGCTCGGGATCCCTCTCGGGCCCTTGGGCTCTGGTCTTCCCTATGTCTGATCGTGTCTTGGGGGTTGGGTCTACGGTCCTCCACAGTCACTATTAAATATTCCATTGGAGAAATCTTGTATATACACGCATGTTCACAACTGCTCACAAACAGGTGTTCTGATCCGGGGGGTTCTGACTGGTCACTGAGTGTGTATACGTATAATGTATGTCTGTGTGTATACATTTACTGACAATATTTATGAATGTAGGCATGTATGTATGTATATCTTTATATATGTATGGGTATGTGTATATATTTATATATGCCCTCCATGTATTTATCCATTTATTTTTCAGGTGAGCAGACAGATGTTGGGTGTGTGGTCCTGTGTTTTGTTGGTGTATATTTGATATACTTCTAATCTCTATTTCAATCTTTCTATCTTTCTAATTACTTCTCTCTGTTTTACTCTCTGTCTCTATTTTCTCTTCACTTAAAAAAGTCACTGATGATGAAAAAATAAATAAACTAAATAAACTAATATTTGGTTTCGTTTTCTACTGAAGTGGCAGTTAAAAAAAAGGATTGGTCTGTGGTGGCCATGGTCACCCCTGGCCACCCCCTGGCTCCGCCCCTAGGTGAGAACAAATGGAATTGTTTTGCATTGATTAATTGTTGTGAGTTATCAAGAAATTGTTCCCAGCAGCTGACTTTTCTGCCCCATTTCAGTCTTTTTGACCCCCCCCCTCCACACACACACACACACACACTCACAGAGACACACATTCTGAATGTCTTCTCCTGTCTCGTTAGCAGTTTGCTGCACAGATACATTTGCAGGTACATTTCTTGGTCCTACTTACACCCAATGAGCATTACACAGATGGAGAAGATCTTCTCAGAGTTGGTGTTGGGTGAAACGTTTCCAAATCCCACGCTTGTCAGACTGCTGAATGTGAAGTAAAGAGCCGTCACATACTTGTCTTTGATTGATGGTCCTGAACCTGGTTTGGAAAACAACATACACCGATTACACACGTTTACACACATATTAACACTCTCTATTACAATCAACTAAACCAGAACATGTTATGAATCACCTTCTCTTCAGTAGAGAATATATTTAGGAGGCTGCAGAAAATGTGTGTATATAAACATACAGCAGAGCCCATACCTTTAATAGTATCATTGAATTGTTTTCCCAGCTGCTCCCCCAGCGTGTGGAGCCAACCTATAGAACCGTTTCTCTCAACATTACCAATTGCGTACCTAGAATTAAAAAAAAAAACAATCACAATACATTGTTACTATATCTGTTTTCTTGTTTTTCAGTTCAACTCAGTTCAATTCAAAAACTTTAATCATTTCTTCAAAACAAAATTAATTTAATGTACAAAAAAAAGAAAATCAAATACAATGAAATGAAAGGCAGCAGATAGAACAAAAAAGCTTATATCTGCCCCCTTTTTTCCTCAAGTATAAACTCAAACAATAATAGTATAATTATATAATAACAAAAACATGTATAATTTAAAAAGTCATTATGCACAGTATGACCTGCATAATTTCCTGTAAGTAAAAAAAACTCTTTCAAAATGAAACTCACAGGAAATCATACGGTTTTATTTTTAACAATTCTATCTAAGCCATCAGACTACTTTCTGAGTTTGTACCAGATGCAGGCCAGCCAGTGAGCGATGAGTGCAAAGGTGCACATGAGAAGGAAAAGGACGGCTGCGCCGTACTCGGAGTAGCGGTCTAACTTTCTGGCTACGCGGACCAGTCGCAGCAGACGAGCAGTTTTCAGCAGCCCTATTAGAGTGGTGGTCTGAAATTAGAGAAAAATAAAATAAAATATATAAATATATATATTGTATAGTAACGAATGCCAAAAACAAAATTTCTTAGCTCGTGTTTCTTAACAGTGCTCCCACCTGTTGTCATTCTGTTACAAACATATACATTTAATTACACAGTTTTATGGGAGGGCTTGTATCACTGAGCTTCACTTCTGACACAGAGGGAAAGAATGATGCTCCCATTCATCACTGTGGGGGGTCTCCTCACTCACCCTTAGTTGTAACCAGGGCCCTTGGTGTCTCTATACAACTCAGGAACTTTGCTTGCAAAGTATGTAGTGCTTTTTGTGTGTAGAAAATATGTGTGTTTTCTAAATAAACTACAATTCCTTCTGGGGATAATTTACACCTTCTTGTCTCACTGAGCTCTGGAAGACAGTATAAGTGGATGTTGGCAAAGCTTTCCTCAGGCAGTATTTCATTTCATCTTTGTGATTTTTCACTTCTCTGTGGAAAAATCTCCTTCCTTTAATTGTTTAATTATCCACTCAACGGAAATACACGCTGTCTGTTTAATGATATTTCCTGTGATCACACTGTCATCCTCAGTGGGATTAATTTTCAATCAGCAGGAAATTAAAAAAAATTTCATAAATACCAGACTACAGCTGTTGACATCTAGTAATGTGTTTATTGTAGAAATAACTACTGCTACTGTCCTGGTTTGACATCCAACCACAACACGACCAACATCCAACCATCAACTAACATCCAACACTTACTGTGAGAAATTCAAGCATCGACTGGCATCCAACACTCAAAAACCCACATCCAATTATCACTTAACAACTTAACAACATCTAAGCCTCATTAACAGATTTTTGTGTTTGTTTTGAATATAAAGTCCATTGATATGGACCAATGGTTTCCAGCTGTTTTTGTCTAATGCTGATTGGTTAATTGTCTTTTAAAATCGCTTTCATCCAATCATTCACAGCAAGTGATTGGTTCTTTTTTATTTTATCTTATTTCTTTTTTATTTCTTTTTACCTGTTGAAAGACTTTTTTCTTCTTGCTCTTCACAATGATTTACATTTCAGTTTCCAGTTTATTTTAGCCATTTTATGAATCTGCATCAGCACATTTTTAAGTATACATTTTTTATGATCAAGGCATATTTGTGTTGGTTTTCTACTTTACCACTTGTACATCTTCATTTGTCTTACTGTTACTTACAACTGTCATTTGCAACCCTGAATGCTGAAACTTTGTTGATTTAGAATCCCTTTTGCTGTTTCTCATAGTAGCTCTCTTGTTGGATTCATGTTCTTGGCAATCAGTCTGCTGTACAGTTCATTAAAGTTTGCCAGCACTCGACTTGTGTGGGTACTTTCTTTAAAAAGTATGATTGCACCTTAGTGCTTCTGCTTGATCTGAAAAAACATTTGGCTCTTATTTGCCACAGCTTTATTTAAATTGATCTGGGTTGTACAGTCAGCCCACTATTTATCCATCATGCATCATGTCTGTACCTCTTCTCCGTTGCGATAAATCAGCAGGTCAAAGGGAATAGCAGCCACCATGTCGATGAGGAACCAACCTTTGAAATAGTGCACAGCAATACGCACTGGGTGGCTCACCACTTCATCATTCGAGTTTACATATGTTGTTCTGAGAGAGAGTTTAAAAAATATGCTGTGATTGTATATCCTCGTATTTAGTTCTTACTTAAAACAAACAAAAACACTTAAACAGTTCAAACCTGAAATTGATGAGGATGTCAATAATGAACATAATGTCCACTATGAGGTCCACCACGTTGAGAGGAGAGCAGGAGTAACCACAGTTCTGCTTGGCTACCTCTTCCTGAGAGGAAAGATGAAGAGAAGGATATAAGGGATGTTGAGTGAAAGAAAGTTCAAATTAAAAGGTACTAACAACATAAAGCACCATCAGAATAAATTAATAATGAGGGTTTCAAGGTAATTTTCATATCTAAGATGACAAAGATTAAAAAAAATCACAGAGGATATTCAGTAAGTACCATTTCTGTGGAAGTCACTCTGACACAGAAACAGTTTCTAATGAAGTGCACTTTGTATATAGAGCTTAATAACCAAAGATTCAAGTAAAGAAAACTCGGTTCTTCCACATTATATGACCCTCACTTCTTTCTTTACTTCACTCAAAGCATTTTACGAGGAAATGGTGCACATTTCTTCTTCTCTGGTGTTTGTATCCAGCTTGTTTTGGATGTCCCCTTGCTTAAGTACATTTTCTGTAAATAGGGGTCATTAACAAATATCAATAGAATTTGATGTCATGCTTAGAAGATACCTGAATCATTTGAACCAGGCAGGCTAGAAAAAAGTAAGTGACTAAAACTTGCAACTGACAACAGCTGGCTATCACTCAAAGCATGGCAGATTGAGTGGCTGCTCTGGTCCAGGTTTTATGTAATATGAATGCTGCTGTAATGTAGTTTCCTCCATTATGAAATTTTTAACAAGATGCAGGACCTTATCAAAATAATCTATTTTAGAGTAAAGACATTGGGTCTTTCACTGGGCTTTGGGAGTAATACGTATACAGCCAAATGACAGTTTCATCTTCTTTTAGATGCGAGCCTACCTCATTGAGGAGGAAAGCAGCTGAGTAGGGCGTTAGGATGGCGGTGTAAATGACCAGCAGCAGAATGAGCCAGTCCCACACTGCTTTGAAGGGGCTGTAATGCAAAACCGTCCACTTGTGAATGCGAGGAGCTTGAAGCTTGTACTCTGGCAACACATCTGCACCTAGAGACAGCACCTGGGTAAAGAAAGGAGGGAAAGGAAGCATCCGTTTATTGGGTATGTACCCAGTAATGGGTGGTCGAGAAAAATACCTTTTTTTTTTTTCTATATGACAATTTGCTGAGGATCTAATCATGTTTCTTGGTCATTCTCAAATTCACTAACACAGGCACTCCTGTAGAATCACATCATGAGATTTACCTATTTTACCAGTTCAGCTGAAATGAACATTCTTTGTATAAAAACCACTTTGCCAAATTTATACTGGTTGAGGTGGACACTGGAGGGTTGTTGTTTTTCTATGGTGGCCAGGGCCACCCTCTGGCTCTCTCCCTGGGTATGTACCTGTTATGTACCAGGTACATACTTACTCATACAAGGTGTATATTTACCTGCATGCACCAGGTAGTTACATACCAAGTATGGTTCCAGTTATGTATCTACCAAGTAAGTACCATGTATGTAACGGGCAGCCCTACATTTTGCTACTTAATATTTGTTACACTTATGGTATTCAGATGGGATTTGATAACCAACAAACTAAAATATATTGTATATATAAAACAAAATTACAAACAAACAAAACAAAAATAAAAACATTTGTTATTTCTTTGCACTTTCTTATAGGCCTCACCTTGAGGATGGGCTGAATACATTGTAGCATCATTTCAAAAATTTTCTAGCAAGAAAATTTCCTCTAAAACAAAATTGAAACTATAATTTGAATCCAAGGTATCTGGATACTTCTTCTCAATTCAAAGTGGTGAATATTCTCTGATTAAAAGTTACTGTTTTGCTGCTTCCCAATGTAGTGAAAACAGACTAATTTTCAGGCCAACAAAACTTGCCACCCTCAGACACACTTCAGAGATGACCACCCCAAACAGGAGTGGGCAAACTGTACACTGTAAAAAATAACTTGTAAGATTTACTAGAGAAAATCCTGTAGACGATTTGCACTAACATTTGTTAAGTAAATTTAAATGCTACAAATTCATGTAATATTTACTCATCATTATCTAGTAAAAGTTATTAAGAATATAGTTAAAGATTTGTGAATAAATCAGGTAAATTTTCTTAATTTGATCAAGTATATGTTACAAGATTTAATTGAGCAAATCAAGTAAAATTTACCTGATTTATTCACAAATCTTTAACTATATTCTTAATAACGTTTACTAAATAATGATGAGAAATTATTACATGAATTTGTAGCATTTCAATTTACTTAAGTGTTACTGCAAATTGTTGAGGATTTTTTCTAGTAAATCTTAGAAGTTCTTTATAAAAGTGCACATGCATCAAGCACAATATTGTAGCATGACACCTCACAGCTACAGAGAGAGAGGTGTAGCTCTTGTTGTAGTTCACTACTTCACCACAAGGTGGAAATTTTGAAGAACCTTTATTGGATTCTTCTTCATGAACAACACAAACAAAATGAAACTCACAGGTCTTATTAATGACTAGGCCTACCACTCTCACTTACGGTTACTTCTGCTGAACGGTTTAACACAAGTTAACAAATAAGGAACACACAAGTTAGAGTAACACAACAGACTAATTGCTGAAAGAACAATGTTAACCAATTCCCTAAAATGATTTAACAACAACAAACATGAATCCTACCCACAATCCTCCACTGCAGTCACATGACAAACAGCCAAACACAGCAGAATGCTACAATATGCATTCCCTGTTCCCTGACAACTAAATATCACCTACATTATGTCATCAAACTATTGCACACCAACAAATGTATTCAAGCAAAAGAAACCAGACAACTTATGTTTTATTTCCACCATGTCTTGTCCTCTCCTTGAAAAGTGAAGCAAGGGAATGAGGAGCAGCAGCCTTTGTGCGCATGCGCCCTCAGTTTTAGCCCAGAAGAGTAGAAGTTACTAAATATATTCATGTTTATGTGCTGTCCAGAAGAAGCACTTAAATATTACTGGTAAAATAATATTAGCATTTACTTTTTTGTACAGTAATATTGATATACAGTATAATATAATGTATATTGTTTATTTAGCAAATTCTAGTAGTTTAGAAATTTTGATATTTTTTGTAAAATTTAAAAGAATAATTAAATAAATGTTGCTACACACAAACATCATTTTTTTCAGTGTAGGTTTGGTGTGAATCTGTCTCACTTAGCTAAATTAATACAGGAAAAAATGTCCTCAGGAAAAAAAAAGTAAAAATATTGCCTGATGGACTCCAATTATCAGTGAAGGATAATCATCCAACCCCCTAATGCATTCCTTCAGTTGGATATAATTTCAAAACAACATCTGTTTGCCCAATTTTTACATTAATGCAAGAAATCTGTTCACTGCAACTTATAGCTGCTCAGGTCAGCATTGCTGACCAAGGTTGCTCCACTCAAACAAAGCAAGCCCAATAAGAAATAAATACCAAAAATAGCATTAGGGCTCAATTTTGGGCAACAGTGAAGCAATACGTCGAGTAGGGAATATGATCATCTCAGCAGCAATCACTGTCTCTTTCTGTTACGCCTCCATCTTTCTCTTCTGCTGCCCTCTTTCTGTCCCCAGTCAGCCAGAAATGCAGCTCTTTCATAACTGGGTGACAGAGGCAGGGTGCATATTAACCCTCTAGCTTTTTAATGGCAGCCAAGCTGAGATGGGGAAATTTATATTCAGGCAATTTTATGTTTTTGACACATTCCCTGTAAGCATCATCACCTTCGTATTGGATAGGGCAAAATGGAAAAGATATCTCCTTATCAACACTCTGTATTCTCAGCTTAAAAGCTGCTTATTCACATTGTTTTACAGCAAATCAGACATATTTGTTCTGTTAGGAATTCATACTCATCAGCAGAGGGCTGTGTAGGCTGTATTACCGGAGAATGAAAAATAAAAGAAAAAGTGGAAGAAAATTGGGTTGTATACCACAGTTCCCAGTTGTGTTGTACACACAGCCTGTATATCAGCCTTTTGAAACTCAGTGACATCATAAAGTGAGGATTTTTCTACAACTGTCACGGTGAGTGGATGTGAGTGATGTGACATGTTCCTGTTCAATAACAGACACATTAAATAAACAGAGACTGACAAGACAAAGACTTAAGGTCTAGATAAATGTAACAACAATCATTTGGTCAAATAATTACCTTTTTGGATGAAATATCTGCTAGGAAACCTTCTAGTACTTTAATTTCAGGAACATAGTTGAATGTTTTGCTTAATTTGTTCCTCAAAAATAAAAGAAAATGGCAAGTACTTTGGTTTTCTGTCTGCATCCCATTTTTAAGTTTCCCAAAGTTTTGCTTAACTTTAAACACTGACAGAAGGTACATTTCAAACCAACGAGTACTTTAAAGTGTTAAAGGAGGCATAGTTTGAAAACTGTTTTTGTAGAAGAGGGAAAGTAAGAAAGAAAGGGAAATGGGGCCTTAACGTAATAAGTCAATTACTGTTTGCATTACATCTGTATGCCACTGCATGTCCTGCACAATCAGCGCCTTGAAAAAGTAACCATACAGAATAAACTTTTCCAAATTTCCAAGTAGTGCCTAATTGTGAAATGAAAGGAAAAAATATATCTAGTTTTCAGTTCGCAAAACAACAACAACAACAATAACAACAACAACAACAACAACAAAGGAAAAGTAGGGTCTCCATTTTAATTCAACCTTCATTACTTGAAATTAAAATCCAGTTGAGCTTTAAACATCTCATGAAGCACTTCTCAGTTTTTGGCATGACTTAAAAAATTCTGATCAGATGTTCTCCATTCAGTGTGACTGATCTTAAGTTATTTTTGCAAAGACGGATGGGCAGAAATTGTATTCTCCAGATGTGCAAAATTGGTAGAGAAAAACTGAACAGACTTGCAGCAGTAGGCAGTTCCACAAGGTATTGAGTCAGGTGGGTGGATTACAAATGCACACCACACTTTTCAGATCTTTATTTGTAAGCCATGTCTCATTTTTCTTCTACTTCACAATCATGTGCTAGTTTGGGTTGGTCTATCACAAACCCTGCAAAATTTTTGAGCTTTGGAGTTGTAACACAACAAAACATGACAAAGTCACGAAAAAGTGTATGAAAGAGTATGAAGAATTGTTTAAAGCACATAATTAACGCCTTCTGTGTATAAAACTATATGTGTTTGCTTTCAAATTGTATTTTAAAATGTGACAGCATTAATGTGACAATTGATCATGACAGCACAAACTGCCTTTAAAAAGGACAACACCTAGGCACACAGGCACAATATTTTATAACGGGTGCAGCTCACCTTTTCCAAAAAAGCCCACATTTTAAATTGTATTATAGAGCTCACACAAAGGTTTTCTAATGAATAGCATCAACTAACAGAGACTGAGTGCATGCATGTTGTGGCCTTCAGAGTACAGAGGCTAAACCTGCCATAAATTAAGATAATATTCTTTTTTTTCCCCATTTAAACACTTCTCACCACCCCTTCAGCTGATATTCATTCTGATTTTTTTGATTAAAGCAGCCTTTTTTTATTAGAAACAGATTTAGGGCAGTGACTTCTATTTTTATTCGGTCATTGATGTTTAGTTGATTTAGCTGACATGACAGAGAGTGACTCAGTTTAGCCTAAAGACAAAGCAGACCAAAGAACAATCCAGCAACAGCACAAAATGACTGATATCAACGCATAAGCAAAAAGAACTCCAACTGTCAAACATTTCTTTCAAACCACTGCATTACTTCAAGTCAATTAGTGTTATTTTGACACATTTTGACATTTGCTAAAACTACTGAGTCTCTGTTATAATCTAGAAAAATGGAAAGAACCAATTTGCTTGTTAGCTCATGAATTTACCCTGTTATGCAGAGGGAAGGGTAAAAAGACAGGCATAGCAAAGCAGTTTAGGACAAACCAGAGGTACTTTTAACAGAATAAACAAATCTAGAGGGTATCTTGGATACAGGTTAAATATACAAAGCAGATATCCCTATAGGCTTGAGCTGGAGCTGTTCTTTTAGATTTCCTCAGAGACTGGAACAGAAG